TTTATTCTTTTTTTCTGCTTACTTTTAGTTTAATTTGCTAATCTTTTTCTAGTTTCTGAAGGTAAAAGCTGAGGGTATGAATTTGAGAACTACCCTTTCTAATATAGGCAATTAATGCTATAAATTTCCCCTTAAGGACTACTTTAGTGGCATTCATTAATTCTTGTATGTGTGCTTTCATATTCATTCAGATTAAACTACTTTCAGATTTCTTTTTTTACTTCTTCTCTGATCCATGGTTTATTTAGAAGTGTGTTATTTTGTTTCCAAATAATTAGACATCTTACAGATATCTTTCTGTTATTGATTTATAATTTAATCCTTTGTGGTCAGAGAATATATTTTGTGTGATTTGAATCCTTATAAATTTGTTGAAGCTCATTTTATGGCCCAGAATACAATCTGTCTTAGTTAATGTCCATGTGTACTTGAAAAGAATGTATATTCTTTTGGGGTAGAATGTTCTAACAAATGCCAAATCAGTTTGATTGATGATACAAACTAAGTCTTCTATATTCTTCCTGATTTTCTACCTACTTGGCATATCTATTATTGAGAGAGATATATAAATCTCTGACTGTTATTGCAGGTTTGTCTATTTCTCCTTACAATTCTGTCAATTTTTGGTCTTGTATTTTGAAACTGTTATTAGGTACATAAATATTTAGGATGATTATGTCTTCCTGATGAATTTACCCCTTTATCATTATGAAATGACCTTTTTAATCTCTGGTAATATTGTTTGCTGTAAAAGTTTGTTTTGACTAACTATAGGATATTATTTTTCATCCTTTTAATCTAGTTATGCTTCTATATTTAAAGTGAATTCCTTGTAGGCAACATTAGTTGGGTTTCTTTTTTTATCCAGTCTGCCAATCTCTATCTCTTAGTTAAGGTGTTAGACCATTTACATTTAATGTGGTTGGTGGTATGGTTAGATTTAGGTCTATCACCTTACTATTTGTTTTTATGTTGTCCCATCTGTTCATTGTTCCATTTTTCCATTGTATTATTTTATAACTAGTTTTATCTCTTTTGTTGGCTTATTATAAACTCTTTTCTTTTTTTTTTTTTTTTATGGTTGCTGTGAAGACCTTCGTCTTCACAATTCCATTCCTCCACAATACCTCATGTCTTTTTGCTACTGTTGTCACACATTTTACTTATACATGTGTTATATACTCTACAGTATGTTATTATTTTTTGTTTAAACAGTCAATGATGTGGTAAAGAGATATAAATATAGTCACACATTGCCTAACAACAGGGATATATTCAGAGAAATGCATTGTTAGGCAACTTTGTCATTGTATGAACATCATAGAGTACTTAATGCAAACCTAGATGATATAACCTGACACACAACTATACTATATGGTATAGCCTATTGCTTCTAGGCTACAAACTTATACAGCATGTTACCATACTAACTACTGTAGGCAATTATAACACAATGATAAGTATTTGTGTATCTAAACATAGAAAAGATACAGTAAAAATATGGGAAGTATTGCCATTTTTAATCTTCTATACCATATTTTTACTGTATCTTTTCTGTGGTTAGATAGAGAAATGCTCTATACACTTCCCATGAGTGGAACTTACAAGACTAGAAGATGCCCTGGGTGAGTCAGCGAGTGAGTAGTGATTGACTGTGAAGACCCAGGACAATACTGTGCACTACTGTAGACTTTACAAACACTGTACACTTGGGCTACAATAAATGTACTAAAAATATTTTTCTTTCTTCAATAATAAATTAGCCTTAGCTTACTGTGACTTTTAAATTTTTAGCTTACTTTATAAACTTTTAAATTTTTAAAAACTTTTTGACTCTTGTAATAACACTTAGGTTAAAACACAAACACACTGTGTAGCTGTACAAAAAATATTTTCTTGATATCTTTACTCCATAAGCTTTTTAATATTTTTTAATATTTTTAATATTTTTTATTTTAAAACTTTTTCATTAAAAAACTAAGACATAAGCTCACCCATTAGCCTAGGCCACAGAGAGTCAGGATCATCAATATCACTGTTTTTCACCTCCACATCTTGTCCCACTGGTAGGTCTTTAGGGGCAATAGCACACATAGAGTTATTATGTCCTGTGGTAACAATGCCTTCTTCTGGAATTCCTCCTGAGAGACTCTCCTGAGACTGTTTTATAGTTAACTTTTTAAATATGTAAGTAGAAGGAATACACTCTAAAATAATGATAAAAAATATGATATAGTAAATACATGAACCAGTAACATAGTCATTTATTATCATTATCAAGTATTGTATATATAATGTGTGTGCTACCCTATTATACGACTGACAGCACAGTAGGTTTATTTACACTAGCATCACCACAAACACCTGAGTAATGTCACTACTCAATAGGAATTTTTCAGCTCCATTATAATCCTATGGGACTACTGTCATAGGATGTGGTCCATTTTTGGCCGGACCAGCATTCTGCAGTACATGAGTGTAATATGAAAGCAATCTTACATATTTGTTCATGTAATTATCTTTTCCATTGTTCCCCATTTCTTTGTGTAGATCTACATTTCCATTTGCTATCATTTTTCTTCCTCCTGAAAGTCTTCCTTTTACATTTCTTTGAGAACGTTGTTGTTCAATTCTGCAAGTGATTAATTCTTTCAAATTTTATTTTTGAAATATATTTTCACTAGTACAGAATTTTAGGTCAGCAAATTTTTTGGTTCCATGCTTTGAAGATAAGCAACATCTTCTTAAAAATATTTTATTTTAAAGATTAAAATAAAATGGGGTACAATTCAGGATTAGGTATATAAGTCGACATTGTATAGGTAAAGTTTGGGCCTCCCTTTGGTCCCCGCTTTCCCTAGTTTGAGATCAGGTACCCTTTTTGATGTTATGTTCCCCCCCACCCCACCGGATTCTTATAGTAAATGTTCAGGGTCCGCTTATGAGTGAGAACATGTGGTACTCATTTCTTTGTTTCTGTGATAGATCACTGAGTATGATAAGTTAAGCAATGTCTTTAACTCTCTCTTCATGTGTTTTTTTTTTCTAATCTAAGAAATGTGCTTTAATTTTTATCTTTATTTTTGATATATATCTTTTCTATTTTTAAGATTTCCTCTTTGTCATGGTTTGGGCAATGTGATTATGATTTTGTGACTTGATGTGGTATAATTTTATTCTTGTGTCTTATATTTCATGATCATTGGCCTTCTTGGATCTCTAACTTTATACTTTTCTTAAATTTGGAAAAATTTTGGTCATTATTTCTTCAAATATTTTTTCTGTTTTCCTCCAATCTGCTTTTCTTCAGGAATTCAAATTACATATATGTTAGGCAAATTACACATATGTTTTACATATATGCAAAACCTTGAAGTTGTTTTATAGCTCACTGATTTTTTTTTTTTTTGGATTAATCTCTGTTGCTATGTCTGCAAATTCGTCCATCTTTTCATTAGCAATATCTAATCTGCCATTAGTCTCACACATTTTCATCTCACATTGTAAGTTTTATATCTAGTAGTTTGAGTTGGGTCAATTTGGGTCTTTTTTATTTCTTCTGTAGCTTAACCTTTTAAACATACTGAATACAATTATAACAACCGGTTTAATGTCTTCCTCTGCTAATTTAACATCTGTGTCAGTTTTGAATGATTGATTATTCCCCTCATTGTGGCCATGTTTGCCTGCCTCTTAGGATGCCTAGTAATCTTTTTTGTTTTGTTGTGTTTTGGGGGTTTTTCTCCTGAGTTGGGGTCTCAAACTCCTAGGCTCAATCAGTCCTCCTGCCTTGGTCTTCCAAAGTGCTGTGATTATAGGTGTGAGCTACTGTGCTCGGCCAGTAATATTTGATTAGAATTTATAGAATACTGATTAGATGCTAGACTTTGTGAAGTTTACCTTGTTGGGTGCTAGTTATTTTTGTATTCCTATGAGCATCCTTAAATTTTTTTCTCTTGTGTAGTTAAGTCACTTGGAAATGTTTGATCCTGTTAGGTCTTAATTTTTATGATTTGTTAGGAGATCTGAGCAGCATTCAGTCTAGGACTAATTATTCCCCACTACTGAGACAAAAGCCTTCTCAGTACTCTATCCACTGGCTAATGAATTATAGGTTTTTTGAGACTGAATAGTGGGAACAGTCACTGCCAGGTCTATGTGAGTGCAAGACACTATTCCTTGTAATCTTGCTGAAGGATTCTTTTTCCAGACTTGAGTCATTTTCTTACACACATACTAATCAGTATTCCCTCCCCAGACTTGAGGAAGTTTCTCTACTAATCTCTGGGTCCCTCCCTGTTTGTTGCCTTCTCCTCTTGAGTAACCTGTCCTTTTAACTCTAGCCACTTTGGGTTCCCAAGACTCAGCCCTACTTCTTCAATTCATGTAGTTAACTAGGTAACTTCTGGGTCTCCCTTCCTTGCTCTGTGTCCTGAAAACTCTCCCAGCAATAAGCTGGGGCAATTGCAGGTCTTACTTTATATATATATTTTTCCATCTCTCAGAAATCACACTCTTATTGCCTTATCCTTGCTCTTGAAACCATAATTTTTAAACTTTTTTTTTTTCCTGTAAGCTGTTTTTGTTTGTTTTGGGTTATTTCAGGTAAGAGGGTAAATCTAGTTCCTATTACTTGATCTTGGCTGGAAGTAAGTTATAACAACAGTAATTTATTTTCTTCCTCAAGGTCAATTGGGGTTCTGCTCCTTTAGACTCATTGCGAGTTGTTTAGGCTAAGCTAGTTTCTACTGGTGTGTGTGTATATATATATGTAATATATATATATAATGTGTGTGTTATTTTAATGAACAAAGAATGTTTGATTTAGTTAAAACTGGAAACCAGCCTGAAAGTTTTACAAAGTAATCAGTACTATCCATCAGAATCTTATGAGATATAGTGCTACTAATTTCAGAGAAGTCATGAGTATAGTGTTGAAATGTATATTTCTAGTATGGAAATTATCATTTAATGCCTTTATTTTTTTATTCACAAATTAGAAGACAATGTATATAAAAATATGCAAGAATCACAGGAAACCCACATATCCAACCACCTAGATGAAATTGTTGCTGCTGTCAGTATCACTCCTAGAAAGAAGATCCCAAACAAGTTGCCCCAGACAGCACTCTTCCAGCCTCCTCGGGAGAAACTCCACCTTTATGAAGAGAAAGTAAAGTCCTTCTCTAGCAGTCACGAAGTAAGGAGCCTTTTGTTTCTATACCTCTACTCTGGGAATCGAGCTGTAATGTAGGATCAAGAGAAGTAGGAGATTTTAGGTTACATTTCTAATCTCAGGAGTTTGAAACTAGAGTATATAAGAGAGTGCCTTTATTATAACATGAGTGAGTGTAATGCTGTAACCGAGTACAAGCTTTACCACTCGCCACACAACAGATGAGACAAGTCTAGAGACAAGGTTTTGGGGCAAGGAAAGCAACTTTATTTAGAGAGTCAGCAAACTGGCTGTGGGCTAGTGTCCCAGAGAACCATCTTAAGTCAGTATGTGCTTTTTAAGTTCCTTTTTTGTTGCAAGAAGGGGAGAGGAGGGAATTGGGAGGTGGCTGATGGTGACTGATAACTGTAGCCATCTGGGCACCAGCGAGGGTCAGAGGAGGTTGTTGTTTTTCTAGGTCAGGTCACAGTGTTCCTATACATCAGTAACTTAATATCACTATTTGTACCTATACTTCCTTATCTCCCAGGGGATTAATTTTGGGAAAGGGACTGCTACCATTTTTTTTTAAGTTGAATTATAAGCTAAATTTTTCCTGTAATTAGCTGGTCTACATGTAGAACTTAGCAGAAACTTTTAACCTAAAGGGCATTAATTACCACAGGGGGTCAGAGGCAAAATGGAGTTAGTCATGGTAAGCCTCACTCTACTATTACAGTTCCTCTGTGCTCCAAGCACAGCATATATATGTATGTATGCATATGTGTGTGTGTGTGTATATATATATATTTATTTATTTATTTATTTGAGTTGGGGTCTTGTTCTGTTGCCCAGGCTGCCAGGCTGGAGTGCAGTGGCATGACCACAGCTCACTGTGCCTCAACCTCCTGAGCTCAGGCAATCCTTCTGCCTCAGCTTCCCAAGCAGCTGGGACTATCGGCACATATCCACCATATCCGGCTAATTTTTTTATTTTTCATAGAGACAGAGTCTCTCTGTGTTGTCTAGGCTGGTCTCAAACTCCTGGACTCAAGCAGGCTTCCTGCAACAGCCTCCCAGAGTACTAGGATTTCAGGTGTGCACCACTGTACCCTGCCAACAGTAAATATTTATTGAGCTCCTAGTATATGCCAAGTCTAGGCTGGGATATAATACAAATAAAGCTGATGAAGCTGCTGCTCTCATGAACTTATAATTCCTTACATTCTTAAACTTTCTTTTCTCTGCATACTTCCTTTCCATTCTTTCCTCAAAAGTTTTATTCACTCAGTATACATTTCCTTCCCACCTCTTGTTGTTGAATCCTGTTTGTTCCTTCACTTATGCAATGCCTGGGGCACAGAAGGGAAAGCCACAGCCTCTGTCTCGGAGGGACTCAAGGTTAGGTTGGGAAGATAGACAGGGGACACATGATCATAAGTGTGATAAGTTCTGTAATAAGTTGTCTGGGATGAGTTCTCTTTAGCTCCTTCTATGCATCTTGAATGGTAGAGACCTCAGGATGATAGAGATACAAAAGAGAAAGTATGTGCCCACATGGACCTGAGGGACAATTAACATGAAAATAAACATGGTAACTATAGACTGTGATAAGTGCTAAAGAGGAAATAGAGAGGGCCCATCTTGGGTAGGATGAACAAGGAGGACCTCCATGAAGAGGTGATCAATGAGCTGAGACTGGAGGAAGGGGAGGAGCCAGCACGAGGAGCTGAGGGAAGAGTTCTAGGGAGAGGAAACAGCATGCATAAAATCTATAAGGTAGGCACGAGTGGGATGTATTTGAAGAGAAGAGAGGAAGCCATGGGCTGACATGAAATGTGGTCGAAAGGCTGTAAGTTCACTTGGGACCTTGTAGGTTTCAAGCTTATTACCCTGGGAGGCCTTAAAAGTACTTTCAGCAAGGTATCAACATACTGCAATTAACTTTTTAAAATATCAATCTTTGGTAATTTTATATTCTAAAATAATTTCAGACTTAGAGAAAAATTACAAGATGCACCAATTGTTGGTATTCTACTCTCATTTTTTTTGGAATTCTCTAGAGTAAGTTATAGATAATATTCTTTACCTCTAAATACTTCTGTGCATATTTCCTAAGAATGAAGGTGTTCTCCTACATAATCACAGCACAGTGATTGTAATTAGAAAATTAATGCTGCTGTAATACTATTACCTAATCTATAAACCTCATCCATATTTCTCCACAATAAACAGGAGAATACCATAAGCACGTTTAACTTTTAAGAATGATCACTCCCATAGCTGTGACGAGGATGGATAAGAAAAATCATAAAAGCGAAGGAGGAGAATCAGTTGAGAGGATATTTGCGATCATCCTGGCAAGGAATTGGGAGGACCTGAACTACCTACAAGGGCAGGATGGTAGAGATGCTGAGATCTTTTTAAAGGAATTTAGAAATGCAGATCAGTGGGACTGGATTGACCGAGGGTCATAGGCGACAGGGAGTTGACAGCAAGGCAGAAGGGATGTGCAGAACTCCCAGCACTCAAGGCCTCAGTCTGCTTGGGTGATTGAAGGCTTGCCCATGCCCTTCATCAGTGTAACAAATACAGGAGAAAGACCAGGATCATGGAGAGAGAGCATGGACCCAGTTGTGAACATGTGCTTGTTCATTATGTAACAGATACCTACCCAGCACTTAACAAACGCCAGACCCTGTGCTAGGTAGGCGCTGGCCAGCAGCCTTCTCAACCAGAGTTTTGCAAGAGAATTAAGCCCTAATGCCCCAAAGCATTGAGCAAATGTAAAGAATCAACTTCACTTCTATGCATCTCTAGTAGCACTAAAGCATTTCTGTGTTCTGTGGTTCAGATGAGGAGCCCAGGATATTTTTCTCTTTGTAGTTAGTAGGTATATTGTGAGGTGATTCATTGAGAATATGTATATATTTAAAACTTCACCCCTAGTTTTAGCTTCCACTGATGATTTTCACCTGTTTACAGTTATTACTATGATATATGCCAAGTAGTGAGTCTCTGATTTCAGCATTCTTTCAACATTTGTTTGTTGGCATCCTATTATAAGGGTTTCCTTCTTCACATCTTATTTATTATTCAGGTATTCATATCATTGTTGGTTCAGAAAATTTTATTTTTCAAATATGTTACAACACATTTTTATTGGAGCTCAAATCGTACCATATTCTCCAGTGGGCACCCCTTTAAGTTGCTTCCCGAGTCCTTGGTCCATCTCCTCATTCACTGAACACTGCCTTAATTTCTGGCACAAGATTTTTCAGGTTCATCTGCTCCAGGTTTAGTCCTGAAACAGTGAACCCTGGTTCCTCTTAGTGGAAAATAATATTTAAACATCAAGATCTGGGTATAAAATATTCATTTAAAAATATATATGGCCAAACATACTTATCATCAGAGTTGCATATTTTAATATTAAGAAGTTTAAGAAATTCCATACAGTCCAAGAATGATGTTGTAGAAAGAGCTCTAGACTTAGCATCAATGGGCTTGTGAGTTCTGACTCTATGACTTGCTGGTAAACCTCTCACCTCTCTGGTCTTATAGTTCTTCATCTTTAAATTGGGGAGATTAAATTAGATTAGTTCCAAGGCTCGACCCTGTTTTGAAATTGCCTTCCTGCTTTGTACTTGTCTTTCATCTGCCCTCTACCTATGCCTGTTTCTAAAGCAGAATAAAGGTTGGAAAGCCAAAAGGGATATCAGGGCCATACATTATAACAAGTAAGAAAGTGGAGGGAGAACAAGCTGCATTTTCTAGACTCCTCCCCATTTGTAGTGAGAACCAAGGCTATGGTTGGGGAAGTCTGATTCAGCCTGCACGGTCTCTCTTACTGGAAATCTGTGGCTGAGACAGTTTCATTTATCAGAACAGGTCTCACTCTTTTTTTGTCTGTCTAGACTCTACAGTGTTTTCATCATTACTCTCTTTTTCATACACTGCAGTCATGGTGCTCTCTCTTTCTCAAAAGAAGTCATTCCCTAAATTTCCTGTATATAGAGGCAATAAAACAGTGATGACCAAAAGAAGAAATACAAGAAGCCAATAAACACATGAAGATGATCAGTCTCACCACTTGAGGGGAGGGGAAACATGGGCCAAAACAAGGAGAAATTGGTTAACTGACAAATTGGCACACTAAAAAACAAAACAAAAGCTCCAGTTTGTGCTTAGTTCTACATAAGGATCATCCCTGCTCATATGTGCTGTGCTGGAATTGTGACTTGGTACAACTTCTTGGAGAAGCACTTCAGCAATAGCTACTCACAGCCTCGGAATCTGGCATATCCTTTACCCAATAATCCTATTTGTGGGAGCTTATTTTAAGGAAGTACTTATGGGTATGAGCAAAGCTATATATGTGGGATAGTCAGAGAGTAAAAAACTTAAAAACAACCTAAATGCCCAACACAGCAATTAAGTAACTCAATTATGATATAGCTATACAATAAAATATTGTACAGTCATTAAAATTTATATCATAGAAGATGACATGATAAATGTTCATAAACTATTAAAGAAAAAGGTTGTAAACCTGCATGTAGCTTATGAGCCTATTTTTTAAAAATAATAAGCATACAGATAGATTCATAAAGATAAAAAATAAAGGGATATTTAGCTACCCGGTTATCTCTAAGAATTAAACTCACAGGTGATTTTTAGCTTTTTGCTTATCTGTACTTTGACAATGAGCATGTATTTTTAGTTTTTATCTTTTTTCTCATCTGTATTTTAGCAATGAGCATGTTTATTTTTGTAATAAGAAACATATTACTATAGAAAAAAGCCACAGTCTACCTTTCAGCACTTGGTGGTGAGCACGTGTCCCTCAACTTCCTCCTGCTGGGTCACAGAAGTGACCCTGCTGTGGTCAGCTATCTGGCTGTGTATTTTTTTCAGGAAGCATGTTATTTCACGGTGAAAATGTTCCTAACTCATGTGGGAATTGTGTGGACATGCAAGTACTTTGAGTGTTGGCATTGGCTGGAGATGCATACTGGGTTTTCTCCTCAGTTCTGTCCCTGCTCTTACCTTTCTAGCTCTGCTTTCATCATCATCTTTCTTTCATCAACTGTCTTACCTCCACCTCCTTCTTTACTGTTCTATCTTTTCCTGCATAACACCCAACACTTAGTGGCTTAAGACAAAAACAGCCACTCATTTTGCTAGGAGCCTGCAGTTTGTGCATAGCTCAGTGGGGCTGGCCCACCTCTGCTCCATGCAGCATCAGCCAAGTCCATCTAGCCTGGAGAATCTACTGACAGGATGGCTCACTCAGACTACCAGTGCCTTTCTGTGTGGGTCTCTCCATGGTCTGTGTAGGCTTCCTCTCACATGGTGGTTAGGTTCTGTATTAGTATGTAGGGCTGCCATAACAAAATACCACAGACAGAGTGGCTTAAATATCACAGTTTATTTTCTCACCATTCTGGAGACTAGAAGTTCAAGATCAAGATGTCTGCAGGGCTTGCTTTTATCCTATAGCCTCTCTCATTAGTTTGCAGTTGGCTCCCCTCTGGTTGTGTCCTCATGTGTTCTTTTCTCCATGTGCATGCACATCCCTGGTGTCTCTTCCTCTTCATATATAAGGACACCAGTCATATTGGACTACGGTTCACCCTAAGGGCCCATTCCAACATAATCACTTCTTTAAAAACCATGTATCCAAAAAGGTTATGTTCTCGGGCACTAGGAATTGGGACTTCAATAATGAATTTTACAATGTAGGAGGAGGACATAGTCCTGCCCATAACTGGTTCCAAGAGTGAATACCCAAAAAGAGACAGAAAGTGGAAGCCACCTGTTCCTTAAGACCTCTGAAAACTGGCACGGCAACATTTCCTCCGTATTCCATTGACCAAACAGTCTTAAAGTCCAGATTCAAGGGGAAGAGAGCATAGATCCTCATCTCTGGATGGAAAGAATGTCAACTGGTCTTTTACTGCCTTGCTATGCCTATATTGCTCCTCTGAAATGACTTGGAATTCAAAGTTCCCTGTTCTCTTTGTCCTAGCCCTCAATGAAATGTTCTTCTCACTACTTTAACAAAGTCTGGATGTCAGTCTTACTGATCTCATTTGCTACACTAATATTATAGACACCCAGGGAAGATTTTGAACTGGGAGCTGAAGTGTATTATTTGAAAACGACTACCATATGCCCACTTGTGCTTTAATATGTAGTAGCTGCTCATTGATGGGCAACTGGAAAACCTAGAAAATGATGAGATGTCTGCTCTACTTTTTCTATTTTTAAAGAAGTTCATACATTTTTCACCTTGTTAAACACTGTTATTTATTTATTTATTTTTAGAGATGGGGTCTCACTCTTTTGTTTTGTTTTATAGTGTGCCAATTTGCCCAGGCTGGAGTGTAGCAGTGCAATCATAGCTCACTGTAACCTTGAAACCTTGGGCCAAAGCAATCCTTCCACTTCAGTCTCCTGAGTAGCTAGGACTACAGGTACATGCCACCATGCCTGGCTAATTTGTTTATTTTTTGTGGAGACAGGGTCTCACTCTGTTGCCCAGCTTGATCTTGAACTCTTCGGCCTCAAGCGATCCTCCTGCCTTTGCCTTTCAAAGTGCTGAATTACAGGCATGAGCCACTGTACCTGGCAATTTTTCACCTTTACATGTACTATAAACTGTACTTATTTCTTATGCTTATTGTCTGTTTCATCCTACTAGATGAACACTCTACAACCCCAAATAGATCTTTGTTTCAGTCTCTGATGTATCCCAAGTGGTTAGAACCATGCTTAGTAAATAGTAGATACTCAATAAATATTTATTGAATTGATAAAATCACAAGTTGATTTTGTGTTTTGTGACTCAAGTTTTAAGTTGCCTAACTGGTAAGCTCATTTTTTTCTTTCTAACAGTATAAACAGGCTGTCCATGAGCTTGTGCGTTGTGTAGCACTGACAAGAATTTGCTATGGAGACCCACACTGGAAACTAGCAGAGGCCCATGTTCATCTGGCTCAAGGCTACCTCCAGCTGAAAGGTGAGTTTGCCTCAGACTGAGGAGTTTCAGCTGATTGATTTCTGCTGTTTCATACTTAATTAGAAGGATTCTATTTTTTTTATATTCTCCTATCCAAATATTGAGAAGTCATTTCCCTTTAGAAAGAGTCAACGAAGTATGTAATATATAAATATTCAAAGGGAAAAAAGGAAATATTATAACCCATCTGGGCTTTATTTTTTATGATCTTAAAAGTAGGGTTCTTAGGAGAGAATTAATCTGTTAGGTCAGAAGGCATTACAGAAAGAAACCAAGGCATGGAATAGGAGCCCAAAGCAGGATCCGTTCACATTTTTTATTGGAGACTCTCTTGACTGTAAGTAACCCCCAAAATAAAAGACAAACCCAAACTGAGATACATAAAAATCTATTGGCTCATGCAACTTAAAAATTCAAGAGTGAAACTTGCTTAAGATGTAGCCACGTTTGACTGTTCAAACAATGTGACCAGGACTCAGTTTCTCTCTTTTCCCACTGCTTGCTGTTTTTCTTGGTATTGGCTCCATTCTTAGCCGGGCTTTGCCCACATGGCAGCAGCAAGGCTACCAGCAACTTTAGGCTTCTATTATAAGCATTCCCAGGAGAAAAAGAATACCCTTGCATCAACATCCCAGGAATTGGGAGTGGAGGGGTTTTAATTGGTCCAGTTTGGATTGTATGCCAAAGGCAAGGGATACTCTGACTGGTAGACCTGCCTTTGGGCTCCATTGGATCCTGGAGGAGAAACTGGTCTCGGCCAGATCACATGGATTGGCTATGCAGAAGCCAGGCATCCTAAAAGGAAAACAGAAGATTTCTTCTTACTGACTGTGCTGCCTAGGACAGGATAAATAAGAGCACCTCTCTGCCCTCAGCTTCTTCAACTGAAAGTGGTGATGATGATAGTGATATTGCTAACTAACTTCCCGGGGTTAGCACGATGGTTAAAGAATATGACAGAATAGAAAATACCACAGTGCCAAGCATAGAATTGCCACCTGATAAATTTAGCCAAATCTGATTATAGATTGGTTTTATCTGCTAGATCAAAGACTATTAGAGTGGACCTAGGAGATCATCTGATTTAATCCCCGCCCCTCCACCCCATTTTCTAGATTCAAAGGAAACAAGAAATCTGAGTTAAACAGCTTGCTCCAGATCACACTGTTAATAAGTAGCTGATCTGAAACTCAAGCCTAGGATTTTGAGTGTCCTTCCATTTGGGGTTTCAAATGATGCTTGTCTTGACTGATGCTTTTCTGCATGACAGTCCTTCCTTCTCAATTTAAAGTAAAAGCAGTATCTACTATTTATTAAAGTTTCATTGTGTGTCAGGCATCGTGCTATTTTCCATGTATAACTTCATTCAGTCTTCACCATAATCCTATGGGGTGGGTATTATTATCTTGGTTTACAGTTGAGGAAGCTGGGGCCAATGTTTCTTAAGAAGTGGTAGAGCACGGAATCCATTCTGGGAAGTTTGACTTTAGAGTCGATGTTCTTTTTTTTTAATTTTTTTTTTAGTTGGAGTCTCATTCCGTTGCCCAGGCTGGAGTACAGTGGCACATTCATGGCCACCCCAGCGATGACCTGCTGGGTTCAGGCAATCCTTCTGCCTCAGCCTTCCAAGTAAATGGAACTACAGGCATGTGCTACCATGCCCAGCTAATTTTTTAAAAATTTATTGTAGAGATGAGGTCTCACCAAGTTCCCCAGGCTGTTCTCAAACCCGTGGGCTCAGGCAATCTCCTCACCTCAGCATACCAAAGTACTGGGATTATAAGCTTGAGCCACCTCACCCAGCCTAAATTTTTATATTAAATATGTGGGGTACAATTCAGAATTAGGTATACAAATGTTCATTATGCAGGTACCCTTGTTGGTGAGATGTGTGCCCCCCATCCTCTGGCAGTTTCCCACTACTGCCAATCCTGCCCCCGCCCTCCCCTGGCAGTTACCCACTACTACTAATTCCTTTCTTATAGTTGTTCAAGTTTTGCTTATGAGTAAGAATATGTGATACTCGGTTCTTTCTTTGTGATCTTTGATAGATCACTCAGTATTATAGCCTCTAAGTCCATCCAAGTTGCTGCAAAGTTCATAATTTGCCCTTCTTTATGGCTGCGTAATATTCCATCATGTATATGTACCACATTTTTTTAATCCAGTCTTCTTTCGATAGGCAGCCTAGTTGGTTCCATGTTTTTGCTATTGTGAGTGATGCTGCAATGAACATGCGTGTGCAGATGTCTTTTTCATAGAGTGTTCTGAGTTCTTCTGAGTATATTCCCAGGAGGGGTATTGCGGGGTCATATGGGAGGTCAATTTTTAGATCTTTTAGGAATCACCACACTGTTTTCCACAGTTGTACTAGTTTACACTCCCACCAACAGTGGAGTGTAGAAGTGTTCTCTTTTTGCCATATCATTTCCATCATGTGTTGTTTTTTGAGTTATTGATGATGGCCATTCTGACTGGAGTTAAGTGGTATCTCAGTGTGGTTTTAATTTGCATTTCTTTGATGACTAGTGAGGCTGAGCATTTTTTCTTGTATCTGTTGGCTGCTTGTATGTCTTCTTTTGAGAAGTGTCTATTAATATATTTTGCCCACTTTGTAATGTGGCTGTTTGTTTTTTTCTTTTTGTACGTTTGAGTTCCTTGTAGATCCCAGATGTTATGCCTCTGTTATAACTCTGTTATACAGTTGGCAAACATTTTTTCCCAGTCTGTAAACTGTCTCCCAGCTCTCTCATGATTTCTTTGACTTTTAGAAGCTTGTCAGTTTGATGAGGTCCCACTTGTCTATCTTATCTCTTATGGCATGGGCATTTGGGGTTTTGATCAGGAATTGGTTACCAGTTCCAATTTCCATAAGGATGTCTCCTGCATTTTCTAAGGTTCTTATAGTTTGAGGTTTTACATTTAAGTCTTTGATCCATTTAGAGTTGATTTTTGTGTATGATGATAGGTAGGGGTCTTGTTTTAATCTTCTGCATGTGGTCAGCTAGTTTTCCTAGCCCCATTTACTAAGTAATGGTTGAAAGTGAAGGTTTTGTTGAAGATGAGTTGGTTAAGAAATTGATGTTTTGCTTCTGGAATCTCTGTCCTGGTCCATTGGTCTATATACCTGTTCTTGTAGCAATACCAGGCTGTTTTGATTATTGTAGCTTTATAGTGAAGCTTAAAGTCTGGGAGCATGATGACTCCCACTTTGTTTTTTGTTTTTTGTTTGCTGAGGATTGTTTTGGCTATTTGTGGCCATTTATATTTCCATATGAATTCCTATATAGTCCTTTCCAGGTCTGAGAAGAATGCTGCTGGTTTTTAATGGGTATTGCCTTAAATCTGTATATTACCTGCCTTGGGTAGGATGGACATCTTGACAATGCTGATTCTTCCAATCCATGAGCATGGAATATTTTTCCATTTGTTTGTGTCATCTTTGAATTCTTTGAGCAATGTTTTATAGTTTTCGTTGCAAAGTTCCTTAACTTTTCTGGTTAGGAAGATGCCAAGGTATTTCATTTTTTTTTGTGGCTGCTGTGAATGGGATTATGCTTTTTATTTGGGTTTCTGTTTGTTTGTTGTTGGCATATAGGAATGCAACTGACTTTTGCACATTTATTTCATATCCTGAGACTTTGGCAAAGTCCTTTGTTGGTGCAAGAAGGTTTTTGACAGACTCTCCCAGGTTTTTGAGGTATAGAATCATGTCATCTGCAAAGAGAGATAACATAACTTTCTCTTTTCCTATTTGGATACGCCTGATTTCCTTCTCTTGTCTCTCTACTAGCTAGGACTTCCAATATTATGTTGAACAGGAGGGGTGAGAGTGGGCATCTTTGTCTTGTTCCAGTTTTCAGGGGAAATGGTTCCAATTTCTGTCTGTTTAGCAGTATGTTGACTGTGGGTTTCTCATAGATGGCTCTTACTATTTTGAGGTATGTTCCATCAATGCCTAGATGTTCAAGGATTTTTATCAAGAAGTGGTGCTGGATTTTATCAAAAGCTTTTTCTGCATCTAATGATATAATCATGTGGTTTTTGTCTTTACATCTGTTGATGCATTTAATTACGTTTATGTTCTTGCGGTTGTTGAACCATCCCTGCATCCCAGGGGTGAAGCCTACTTGGTGATGGTGGATGATTTTTGAGATGTGTTGTTGGATCCGGTTTGCTAGAATCTTGTTTAAAATTTTAGCATCTATGTTAATCAAGGATATTGGCCTGTAGTTCTCTTTCTTTGTTGGATCTTTACCTGGTTTGGGTATTTATGTGATGTTCGCTTCATAAAATGATTTGGGGAGAGTTCCATTTTTCTCAATTGCCTGGAATACTTTGAATAGGATTAGTATCATCTCCTCCTTATATGTTTTGTAGAATTCTGCCAGAAAGCCATCTGGTCCAGGGCGTTTTTTTGTAGATAGTTTTCTTATGACATAGTTGGTTTCCTGGGTTTTTATTGGTCTATTTAAGTTCGCAGTTTCTTCCTGTTTCAACCTGGGAATGTTGTGTAATATAAGAAAGTCTTCTAACTCATTTAAGTTTTCAATTTGGTTTCCATACAGGTGTACATAGTAATCTCTGATAATCTTTTGTATTTCTTCAGGGTCAGTTGTGACTTCATCTTTTGCATTTCTGAATGTGTATATTTGGACTTTTTCTCTCTTTTCCTTGGTCAGTCTAGCTAGGGGTCCATCAATCATATTTATCCTTTCAAAAAACCAGTTTTTTGTTTCACTGATTTTTTTAAATTTTTATCTTCTATGTCCTGAATTTCGGCTTTTATTTTAGTGATCTGGATTCTTCTGCTGAAGGTAGGATTTTGGTGGTCTTGCTTTTCCAGCTTCCTTAGGTGATTTGTTAGGCTATTAACTTGTGATCTTTCCATTTTCTTCATGTGTGTTTGTAGAGATATGAATTCTCCTCTTAGGACTGATTTCATAGCATCCCAGAGATTTTGGTAAGATGTTTCTTCATTTTTATTTGTTTCCAGGCATCTTTTAATCCCTGTTTTGATTCTGTGTTGACCCAGGAGTTGTTTAACGTCATGCTGTTTAGTGTCCATGTCTTTGTGGGTTTGGGGGAAACTTTGTGTGTGTTGACATTTATTTTTACTCTACTGTGGTCTGAGAAAGTGCATGGCAGAATTTCAATCTTATGGAATTTGTTTATGCTTGATTTATGACCTAAGATTTAGTCGATCTTAGAGTATGCTCCATGTAGTGATGAGTAGAATGTTTATTCTGTGATTTTTGGATGGAGTGTTCTATGAGTATCAATTAAGCCCATTTAGTTAAGTGTCACATTGAGATTCTAGATCTCCTTGTTGACTTTTTGTCTTGATGATCTGTCTAGGGTTGTTAGTGGGGTGTTTTAAGTCTCCAGCCCTGATAGTGTTAAGAGTTAATAGAGTAAATATCTTTTTTTAGTTTACCTAGAAGCTGCTTTATGAAAATTGGTGCTCCTATTTTGGGTGCATATATGTTTATGATGGATATTTCTTATTGATGGGTTGAACCTTTTATTATGTTGTGACCTTCCATATCTTTTTAAATTTTTTATAGCTTAAAGGATATTTTGTCTGATATTAAGATAGCAACTACTGCTCTCTTTTGTGTTCCCTTCACCTGGAATTTTGTTTCTCATCCTCTTACTTTGAGTCTGTGAGTGTCTTTCTGGTGACATGGGTCTCTTGGAGACAATATATTGTTGCCTCATGATATTTTATTTTGCTTTCTATGTCTTTTCAGTGGTGCATTTAGTCCATTCACATTCAAGCTAATTATTGAGATGTGAGAGTTTATCCCTGTCATGAGGTTCTTGCAGAGTTTGTTGTTACTGCTGTTTGTTTGTTTGTTTACTTGTTTGTTGTCTTTCTTTTTATTTTGGGGTTGACTCATGTGTTTTCAATCTTTATCCTGCATTCTTGTGAAGGGTGTTTTTTTGTTTTTTGTTTTTTCCTTCTGTGTGTAATACTTTCTTAAGTATTTCTTGTTCAGCTGGTCTGCAAGCAGTGTAAACTCTTAGGGATTAAATATCTGGGAAGGATTTTAATTCTCCATCATTGAAGAAACTTAGTTTAGCTGGATAGGTAATTCTTGGTTGAAACTGTTTATCACTGAGAACTTTGAAGATTGGGCTCCAAGTTCTCCTAGCCTGAAGTGTTTTTGTACATGAGTCTGCTGCTATTCTAATTGGTCTTCCCTGATCAAGATATTAATAGAGATTATAAATTGAAATGAGGAGAGACAAGAGGAAAGAATGAAGGAGTTGACAGTAGTCTGATCATTCTCTCTTGCTGCCTTTAGGATTTTTTCTTTTATACCTACTTTGTGTAGGCAAATTACTATGTATCTAGGAGTTGGTCTTCTCATTTGTTGTCTTGTAGGGGTTCTTTGAATCTCTTGTGTTTGAATGGTCACATCACTGATGAGATGAGGGAAATTTTCTTGGATAATTTCATGGAATGTTTGCTCCAGGGTGGTCTCTGTCTCTCTATCTGCCTGTGGATTCTAATTAATCTTAGATTCATCCTCTTGAAATAATCACTCATCTCTTGGAGGTTTTGTTCTGTTTTCTTAAGCTTCTTTTCTATGTTTTTAACAGTTTGGGTTAGTTCCATATTCTCAAATTCTGAAATTCTTTTTTCTGCTTGGCTAAGTCTACTTTCCATGCTTATCAGTTTGTTGTTTATTTCATTCACTGTATAGCTGTTATCTCAGTTATCAACTCCTTCATTCTTCTTGTCTCTCCTCATTTCTATTTATTTTCTCTATTAATATTTTGATATCTGGGTTTATAGTTTGAGACCAGTCATTCTGCAGCTCTTCATTGTTTGAGTTCCAAAGTCTATATTCTCGGTGGCTGAACTCCCAGGGGTCTGTGTGAGACTCATATTCTTCCTTTAGTTTTTCTTCATTTGTGTAGCTTTTCCTCCCCCCGCCCCTTTTTTTAACCTCTTCTTTAATTCTGTTTTTCAGTGATGGGGGGATAGCTTTTATTTCTGTTTGCTCAATCTCCTATTCTTCCTTATGTAGATCCTATGGTTTTGTTCAATTCTGAAGCTGGACTGAGGGTGGGGGCCTATGCTTTTTGCAGTTTTGAGATTTAATTAAGAGGGAAACTGTGGTTCAGAAGTTATCTGCAGATCCCAGCATCCAATGTCAGGCGTGTGGGCCCCCTGGAACTCATTTCCCACTGCCTTACAATCTGTCCATGCATTAGGTATATGTGTTTGTCCCCTGAAAGCAAAATGAGATAAAAAAAAGGGAAAAGAATGGAAAAGGGAAAGAGGAAGACAGAAGAGTGGTAGTGAGAACGAAGAAGAAAACAGACAAGCATACCAACTAACAAATAAACAGAGAGACAAATGAAGACAGAAAAAACAAAAAAGACAAGAACATACAGACAATCATACAAACAAACAAAACCTCTCTGTTGGTGTACTCTCCCTCAAAAATACCCATACATAAACAGAAAATCTAAAATAAAAAAAATTTTAACTGAAACAAAGCAAGTGCAAAAACGTAAACTAAAACAGAAGGAAAGAGAGAAGAAAACAAACAAACAAACAAAAAACTCACTCTATGACCTTTTCTGTGACTCCGGGTTCCTTTCAGGCTTCTACTTCTGGTCTCCAGCCCTCTCCTCCACTCTCAGTGTAGGCTGATAGGTTGTAGCATGTGTCAGATGTCCCACAGATTACTGTGAGAGGAGGATGGATCAGATCCAGACTCACCCTACTTGCTGCTGTTGCTCTCAAGTCTCCTACTCAGATCTCACATGTCTGTGCCTGTTCCAGCACGGGGGAGGGGCATCTGTCTCTCCAAGTCTGATGAGAAGATAGTCTCTAGTCCCAAGATAGAGCTGGTGGAGCTGGGCAGGGCAATGTAACTCTCTGCTGGGTCCCAGGTCTGAGAAGATGGCACCCATGAGCATCTCATCAACGTCATTGGAGCTTTATTCCAGATTTCCACAACCTGCCTACTCCACGGTTCCTCCTGCTTGTGCCCAGTCTGCTACTTCAGGTGATAGTGTGGGCCAGGTGCCAGGTGGTGTGGGGCAGCCATTCTCTGCTGCCTTCTCTCAAGAGAGCCCTGAGAATGGCAGACGATCCTGCACTCCCAGGTCTCCAATCTCAGGACAGTGTGGGTTGCATTCACCTCCAGGGGAGAGCCCTGGGTACATGAAACCTAGTCTGTCTTCAGACGGACTTTAGCACACATCCACTCACACAGGGAGTCTTTATGAACACTTGCTTTTGTGGAGACTCTCACAGTTTGAACCTGTTCCATCACCATCTTGTCTGGAAGCCTCAGAGCTGATGTTCTTGAACCTATACTGCCTCCAGTAGATTGAGTTTGGGTTCCTTAGTGGAATGGACCACAGCTGAAAATCCAGTTTGCCATACCTTTTGTAAGTCACAAGCACAGTTGGCACTAATACATTTCTAGCTGGTTGATAAGTATTTTTCAACGTGCTTTTAAAAAAATAGCAAGACAATATTCTGTAAGAGCTCCCACATGAAAAGCATGCCCTTAATTTTCTCCATTAGAAAATATATTCCTCCTGTTTTATAGGAACAAATTAACTCCATATTTTGACAGCTTTTTATAGATTTGAGATACACTTTGTTGTAATTTAGATCATAAGACTGGGGGTATGTGGATATGAGTGGAAGGGCATGTCTATGCAGGGGAGGAGGATGGAATAGAGGGGAATGCAGAGCCCTGAGTCCTAACTGGTGGTCCCTGGCATACCCTTCCTGCAGATTAACAAGCCCATGGAAGAACACTGGAACACACTGGGGAGTTAGTTCTTGGTAGTAATTTATTTTTTGCTTCATTTTGTTTCATATTTGTTTGTTACAGCATAGGAGTAAGAGATTGTCACACATTAGTTCATTGCCTCATTGGAATTGTATAATTTTTACAGATATCATCATATTTGTATTATGTTAAGATAACTGTGACGTATGATTATGTGTAGGTGAGCAGAAGATTCAAAATTTTTAGTATTTCATTAAGATTGCTGCCACAAAGCCAGGATTAAAATTCATGAATATTTTTTTTCCTGTCTAGAATGCTATAGTCCTTGGATTTCATTTATTTTATTTTGTTTTTTATAATTAATTGCAACATATTTTACTACTGATATTGGTGAGGTTTCAAAGCTGTTCAATTCCAGCTCATTCTGTTTACTTTCTTCCTTAAAAGGCCATTTTGGTTGTTACTCATGGCAGTATTTCATGCTGCTCAGGTATATCCCCATGTGCCACTTGACAATTCATGAAGTAGACCTCAGTAGATTTCCGTAGATAACTGTATTTCTGCCCAGTTGAGATTAAAAAGAAACTGAGACCTCTTTTTCTTTCTCTGCAGGATTTTCACTGCAAGCAAAACAACATGCAGAAAAAGCCAAAGAAATCCTTGCCAACTCTCTTGTGCCTCCCTATAATGACAACACAGATGTTTTCAAGTGTTCCATTGAGCTTTTCCATACCATGGGGAGAGCCTTACTTTCCCTTCAAAAGTATCCTTTTGCCTCTAATCTTTACATATAGAAATACTGCTCATATAATACTTATATTTAATTCTCCAGGCCAAGTAAAAAACTGATAAATGACTCGGAAGGGTGATAGGAAGTATAGGAGCCATGGAAGTCCAGGACCTGGGGTGTAGAATCTAGAACCAAGTGGAAAGTTTCCTGAACACAATTCAGATTTAAGGAAGCTTCAGAGAACCTGACAAAAGCAGAGAGACTGTCAAAGGAACTGCTACAATGTGGACGAATTATAAAGGAAGAATGGATGGAAATTCAAGCACAGATCAAATTGTCATTTGCACAGTAAGTTTCAAGTTTAGGACTTTGTGTACCTGATGGCTGGAGGTTATTTGCCAACAGAATCTGTCTTCAAGTAGGAGGAGCTTCTCCATGGGACTGTGTCCATGGCTTCTTCTGGGGCCATTGTCTAGAATTAAAAGAGGAACATAGTCATGTTAGAGCAGCCCCAACCAAGACATCAGTCAGTGGCACTTTTCACTCAATGTGGAGTGCCCTCATAGTCCCCTGGGTCCCAGCGTTCTGACCATAACCCTCCTGGCTTTCTGCCTGCTTTCCCTCCTCACCCCCCGGTTTCTGCTCCAGTCGAAAATTCTTTAACAGATTGATTTTATGATTAGGGCCTCAATGAGGAAAGGTCTGAAATATATCTGAACCCATGATAATGAGAGGATTGATCTTTGTTCCTCACCCCATTCCGTACTTACCAAATAAACCCAGTTAGAAGTGATATAAAGAGATGATGATGGGTCTTGGGTAGGTAGGTAGTACAGGTATCCCTCCCTATAGGCCAACCCTAAGCCAATTCCTCAGAGTATTGAGTTGACAGAGTATGCCCACACTCTTTAGAAAGGTGGATTTGTGGGGGAGAAGAAGGTGGAGAACTGTCCTAGAAGTGGCAAGGAGTCATAGTTGACCTACGTGGCTTCTGTTAGCCAAAACCTGAGAAATTCAATTTATCTTTATGACCAGATTGCATATATGGGTTGATACCCAGAAGAACTCAGAGAACCAACAGGATCATTTTAAGAAAGGTGTTAGGAAAATTCCGCAAGAGAACACATGTAACCATTCCATATGAATGGAGACCGGGGAGGACCAACTTTGACTCATGCTTTTAAAGATATTTATTTTGTGATTGCAATTATCCCTTGTTAATTTGTTTTGTTTGGGTGTTTTTGGACTGCAAGCGTAGAGCTCTTCCTTGCATGCTAGCCTTTTGGTGTGCATTTTCAAATTAATTTTTTTCCTCTGTGATCTTCTCTCATTCTCCCACAACGCATGTCATAGATATCCATTTTAATGATGGTTTATGTCCTTGTATATATATCTCTGAGTAGTAAATAGTATTGTTTTATGTATTTGGTTTAAGTTTGTATAAATTTGTAGTACATATCTCATTCTGTTTCTTACTTTGTTCCACTCAACAATTTTAAATTAATTGTTGTATGCTAGTTCATTGTTGTATGCTAGTTCATTGCTTCTGTTCCTACATTGTGCTCCATAGAATGCACTTGCTGTATTTTGCTTGTCCATCCTTCTACCGTGGACATTCAGCTTGTCCTAGCTCTCTGCTACCACAGTGGTGCTACCATGACCATCCTTATACAGCTTCACTTGGGTAGCTAAGCAAGACATTTTCTGAAGTTTTTACCCAGGGGCGGTATTGCTTGTACAAGTATGCTTGTATAAGCATACTTCAAGTTCACCAAGCTGACTGCTACTCCCATCTGCATTCCCACTGCAGGGCAGGTAGGCTCTTATTTTCTCACATCCCTAATAATATTTGGCGTGGTTTATCTTTCTGTCGCCAACCTCATGCGTGTAATGTGCTAGCTATTTAAATTCTATTTACATTTCTCCTATTAGTAAATTTGAATACCTTTCATATACTTCTTAGCTATTTGGGATTCCCCTTCTATGAACAGCCTGTTTATATTCTTTTTCACTTTTCTTCTGGGGTTCCGTGTACTTTTCCTATTGATAATCAAGATTTTCTTGTATTTTATAAATATTAATAAAATTACAAATATTTTCTTACATTTATTGCTTACTTATTAAATTTTGTTTATGATGTTTTTCATGACATAGAAATTCTCAATTTTGCTAGAGTCAACTCCATTTATTTTCATCTTATGATTTATGCTTGGGGAGTTTATTTATAATGTCTTTTCCACTCAAATATCAAAGATAGTCACTAACATCTGTATCTAAGATCTGCGCTAACTCTGTAGCATTATAGAGTTAAAGCATTTTGTAGCATTATCACTGTCATTAAGTAGTTAGTATTTCATAACTTAGTTTATAAATTATTCCTTAGTCCAAAGATTATTTATGTGATGTGTTTTAGTTTATAGATATATGATATTTTTCAAGGTATCTTGATGTTACTGATTTCTAATTGTATTGCATTATGAAAAAAATATATTTGCATGGTATCAAATTTGAAATTCATTGCAGCTTTCTTTGCAGTCTAATCCATGGTTAATTTTTGTGAATGTTCCAAATATGCTACAAAAGAATTTTTTTTATTTATTTGGTGTATGTAGCATTCTAATAAATCTATATTAAGTTGACCTTATTAATTCCCTTATTCAAATTTTTATCTTTGTTTACTTTTGCCAGTTTGATATATTAGTTTTTAATATAAGTATGTTTAAATCTCCAGCTATAATTGTTAATCTGTCTATATCTCCTCATGGTATGGTTTTGTCAGTCACTGTCTTACATATTCTGAGGCTATTTTGTTGGGAGAGGAGAGTTCAACAGCAGCATATTTTCTTTTTTTTTTTTTGAGTTGGAGTCTCACTCCATTGCCCAGACTGAAGTGCAGTGGCATGCTCCTGGCCACCGCATCCTCGACCTTCTCTGCTCCAGTGATCCTTCCACCTCAGCCTTCCAAGTAGCTGGAACCACAGGTGCATACTGCCACACCTAACTAATTTTATTTTATTTTATTTTTATTGTAGAGACGAGGTCTCATCAAGTTGCCCGGGTGGCTCTTGAACCCTCAGGCTCAGGCAATCCACTTGCCTTGGCCTCCCAAAGTGCTGAAATTACAGGCTGAGCCACCAAGCCTGGCCTGCATGTTTTCTTAATCTGTTATTCCATTGATCAGTATCTCTTGTCCTTTTTTGTCTTCTGTGTCAGTATGTATTTTGTATATTATTATACCCTAGCTCTCTTTTGGTACAAATTTTCCTGTAATTAAAAAAACATTTTTTAAAGATATCTTTATTTTGTTTTAAATTTTCCTTTGTCCTACCAATTTTACGTTCATTTCACTATTCTTACTTGCTTTCTTTTAGACAAATCAAATATTTTTATTATGAAGTTTATGAAATTTGTAAGTTATACATTATTTTTCTTCTAGTAGTTGCTATAGAGTTTGTCACTTACATCCCTGACTTACTAGAATCTAATTGTAAATCAGTCATTTAACCACTTCCTGAATAAATATAAGGACCTTTGAGTATGCTAACACTCTTTATCTCCTCTGTTTGTTGCTATATTGTCCTGTATTGAAATCACCATATATTTTATACTACAGATAAGCACAGAAGTGAAGAAAATATTTGTAATACATGTAACTGACAAAGGGTTTGTATTGAATCTATAAAGAACCCTATCTGTCAATAAAACAAGACAAACAACTAAGTTGAAAATGGGCAAGAAAATTTTCACACACAAATATGACACCCACATAGCTAGTAAACATATTAAAAGGTATTCCATAAAATCAGTCATTGGGGGAATGAAAACTAAAATCATAAGATACTACTACATTCCCACTAGAAAAGCTAAATTTTTTTTTAAAGATTGATAATATCAAGTGTTGGCAAGGATGTAGTTTTCTGAATTGCTCTCTCATATACCATTGTTTGAAATATATTTGGAATACCTACTCTAGAAAACTATTTGACACTATCTACTAAATTTGAACATCTGCATACCCTTCAATCCAGCAGTATCACTACTAAATATACACTCAACAGAAGTTTATGAATATGTTCACCAAAAGACACATCCAAGAATGATCAAAGCTGCATTATTTGTAATAGCCAAGGATTGGAAACAACCCCAATTTTTCATCAAAAGTAAAATAGAAAAAAAAAAAAGAGTGATCTGCTCATACAAAGGAAATGATCAAACTACTTCTATGCTTAATATCATGGCTGATTCTCACAAACATAATGTTTAGTGAAGGCAATCAGACCCAAAAGAATCATATGGTATGATTCCATTTAACCAGAGGAGGAAGAGGGTTGTTAGTGACCTGGAGGGCTTTACCAGTTCAGAATCTCTTCTCGCCCAGAATTGGGTATCATCTTGTAAGACAGGAAATATACAAAACAGAGGTCCAAGGTATGATACCTGTTGCATTGACTGAGATCCAACTGATGTATTCATACTTAAAGTTGAACAGTGTTGCTACAAAATAGAGTAAATTATCCTTTGCTGGAATCTTGTCGCCTCCTCTAAGAGTACTTTCCAAATTAGCAGTACCAACTCTTGACAGCAGGTGGCGGGCCCGGTACGCATCTATGCTGAATGCCCAACAAGAATTTAACTGTCCTACAAAGCTATTTTTGTGCTTAGCCCAGTTGTTTCAAATTTTGCTACTTTTTTTCATCCTGATTCTTCACCATGATGTCTTCACCAGAATGTGCCTGCTTAAACTGCATGATTTTCAATCAATTCCTGTGCTGTTTCTTCATTGAAATGTGAATATTTTGTCCAAATTGATCTGCCTTAGAAAGCAACAAAGCTTTGATTTTGTACATTTCTGTGGTTACACTTGAACGAAGGCCTTTTCTTTTGCCAGGTCTTAGAGGTGGAAGGCCAGGATAATTTATCAGACAGCTGTCATAGAATTTATGTCCCTCTTAAAAGAATATCTTTTAGTGTATTCTCTTCCTCTATCTGCCTCTCCTTTTATGGTGCCCATAACGCCAGCCTGGTGCCTTCCTCTTTAGGCTGACAGATAAGTGCTGCAGAGTGACTCATGCTTCATGCCTTCCATCCTTCACTGTTACCTGAAACTTCTTCCTTACTACCTCTTCTCCTCCAATCCAGCACTGCTTCATTCAGCAATGATTTATTTGTTAACTTTGGAGAGTAAATCCAGATCATGTGTTCCTGTGAGTACAGTTAAGTTTTTGTTTGTCTGTTTGTTTGTTTGAGTTGGAGTCTCACTCTTTCGTCCAGACTGGAGTGCAGTGGCATGCTTGCTCATGGCCACCCCAGCGTCAACCTTCTGGGCTCCAGCGATCCTTCCGCCTAAG